CATCATGTCAGCCTCTGTCATTTTAAGATGGAGCAGCGTCTGTCTCCAAGTCTCTCCTCTGTGTCTTAACATTTAAAAGTACACCTATTTATACCTTAGGTGTCTCCATTTTAGGTTACTGTAGTTCAAATATGAAAAAGTAACACTTCTTTTACTTTATTCAATTTAGGTCCTCCCTTAATTTGGCAAACATACAAGGCCATAACTAAAGGGTGTATACGTCATGGAAATTTTCCTGACAGTTCAAGATGACATCTTAAAGTCTGAATAGGTTATCTGTTGTTTACACTAAGTCGTAAGTGTACAGTCGTGGGAGATTCCAGGATTTGGGGAAGTTCCATTAACTTGGGGTTACCACAGTATATTGTGTACTGCAAGTGTCGTAGAATAGCCTTGAAGCTTGTTTATGCATTATTGTTATTGTAATTCGTCTGGGACAAAATGGCACAAACATATTATGCACTGAGGTTATTGCTTAAAGAAACAGTTATGAAAAACAATATGTTCAATTTCTAACACCTTGTCAGTTTGCAATATCTCTTAAAGACAAAGTACACAGTTTAAGAAATACAACATTTCATTCTAAAACTTGTAATATTTGCATTTGCCCGTAACAATATTTGCTTAAGTCTCTCTTTACTAGAACTCCACAGCAGCACATTAACATAAAGATAAAAACACCAGAGACAAAAAATCATGAATCTATTAAAAAGGCTTCTCCCAACTAACTATTTCCTCTTTCTTTGCTGCTCCGCAGTCAGTACAGGTCAGAGTACCACTGCCTCGTGTTTTATATGGGTGGTTGTGGATATTTTACTGTATTTATATGTTTATTACTGTATTGATTTATTTGTTTAGAGTGTATTTTCTACATCTACCTTCTAAGTGCTCTAATGATTGATTTATTTAGCCAATCTGTATTTTCTCCACCTACATGCTTAGTGCTGTAGTGATTGCTTGATTGATTTATTTACTCTGTTTTTCTGGATCTACCTTCTTATGGCTGCAGGGATTTATTTGTTTAGAATGTGTTTACCTTCCTACTGCCATTATGATTTATTTATTTAGATTGTATTTTTCTGTCCCTACTTTTTTGCTGTAGGGATGTATTTTCTCTTATAACTTTTCTGCATTTTACTCTTTTGGGCCCCCCTGTCTGGGGATCGTTTTTTTTTTTTTCTCGGGTTTGGGGGGTTTCCTTTTTCCCTCCCTCTTCCTTTTCCGGGTGGCTTTGCCCCCTTCACTTTTCGTCCATTTGCGGCTGCCAGGACCCCGGAGCAAGACTCTGGCGGTCCCACGTGTTGGATCCCACCCTCCAGCTCCGTCCGCCGAGCGAGATCCTCTGCTTCCACCCCCCACCCGACCCACGCTTCTGCTCGTCGTTTAACTGCTCCCGCAGCGTGGGTGGGGAGGGGGTTAGGGGTTGGGGCAGCCCCAAGCATCCAGTACCCCGCAACCGCATGATCGGGTGGGGGCGTGGCCGGCCAGTTTCCAGACTTACCGCATTAGTTCCGTCGATGGCAGGCACATGTGCTGTAGCTTTGACTTGGACTCAGCTATGACTTGGCATTGCACCCTCAGGCTCTCCTAGCTTTGTGCCCCATTTGGCTGGCAGGTTAGGCTACTGGGTACTATAGTGGATGGTATAGATCACAGGCTTGCTATATAGAGCTGTGCACAACCCCTCAAGGGTTACAGGCATAGCTGGCAGTGTTACCACTTATACTCATCCCCCCCCTTTTTGTTTGTTCAGATGATTGCTTGCAGCGCTCTGTTTTATCATATAGACAAATGGAGCACCTCTTGTGAGGTAACTCAGTTGGTGAGTTCCCTGACTACAGGTGTACTCAATATGCAAGTTCACTATTTACGGAGTGTCAGGCACTATTTAACTGAACAGTTACACATAAGAATGCTATGTACAGTTAAACAGCAGAATGCTATGTACAGTTACACAGGAGCATGTTATGTACAGTTACACAGTAGAAGGCTATGTACAGTTACAAAGAAGTGTGTTAATTACTGCTGGTGACACTTGTCCTCTATACTCCTTGAGGTCGCTTTACCTGGGACCGTTGCACAGGAGAACCCTTATCTGGGTTAACAACGCAGACAATGACTACAGTGACCACCTCCGTGGAATTAGGCTTCAGCCAAGGCCCTCCCTTAAGCTTATCAGGAGCGTAACGCTAGAGGGCCCACCTTTAATGGAGAGCAGGCAAGGGCACATAAGCGCTACTGGAAGGGTGAAGGCCCTGAACCAGTGACTTGAATGAGTCAGACTCTCCTTGAGGAGAGCAGGCAAGTGCGCATGACCGTTACTGGAAGGGTGAATGCCCTGAACCAGGCTCCCGGAAAGATAAGACTCTGAGGAGTGGCTAGCCCCTCTGCAAGCGGCCAGATGGCCCTGCCTATATGGCGCGGGGAGGCAATTACCACCGGACGTGGCAGTTACTACCTTTTTAAAAATGAAGACGACTTGAAGGAGTCAGACTCTCCGAGTGGAGAGCAGGCAAGGGCGCATAAGCACTACGGGTAGGGTGAAGGCCCGGAACCAGACGCCCGGAAAGATTAGACTCCGGAGAAGTCTCTAGCCCTGATACGATCAGCCTTGACAGCCAGACGACACTGCCTATGTGGCGCAGGTGTGAAGATCCCCGTAACGCCCACCCCCAGCGGACCGGTTCCCCTCGGAAGGAGAGGACGATGGGGGTGTGGATTATGATGATGGCCCCTAGTGGCACCATGAAATGTAGAACAAAGTCCACTACCAGGGCCCCGATGACCGTGGGAGAAGAGGTCATCTCGTGGATCGCCTTAAATGAACCCCTGTTCGACACTCAATCCATTGCTCACCATGTTGATATTATGTTTTGATTTTACCGTTTAATTATATTTTATGCGATAATGCCAATGTTAAATTGATGGTTATTTTGTTTATATTTATGGGATTTTACCACTCCTACACCATTCTGGTGTACGAATGGAAATTGCAGAAAAAGAAAATGTTATGTTTTCATACTGCTGCTTTGTGAATTTGCCACATAATATTGATATTAAGCTACGATTCTGCATTTTTATCATATTTTATGTCAATGTTTAACTGATGGCTATTATGTTTGTATTTGTGGGATTTTATCACCTTTCTTATTATTTTCATCATCATTGAGAACTATGCTGTCCCCATTTACATTTCAAAGGAGGACATCTTAGACATAAATTCTAGATGAGGGGAAAAAAATATTGTGAGTGTATTACTTTAAGAAAATGATTATGTAGCTGGAAAAATATGGTATATAACAGATAAACAGCGGCTGTGGCACCTATCTTGAGAAATCCCTCACGTGAAGGGCAAAACGCGTTGAAGGTGCCAGATGCTATTTTCAGTACTTGGTTTAATTAACAAGGCTCCAGTATCTAACGAGACTTACCTCCAGCATTCCTCCAGGTTCAGATCGTGGATGGTCGGCTTCAATGCACGAGGCAGACGCTGTCTCCTCTGGAGGATCGTTTTTCTCTATGATATACATGGACTAAAGACATTGCTTATCAAGCTGAGAAAGTGGTCCTTAGAGATGAGTACCACATTTTTATCCTGTAAGAGTTTCTGATTTGTGGGGTTTTATGTATAAGGGCATTAAACATACAGTGTTACACTATTTTTTGTTTCCTTAATTCCTAAGGTACAACCAGCAAACCGCGGAGTTCAACACTGATATGGATACAGATTCTGCCTGTTCTCCTTTGTGACTATTATCTTTTCCATCACTTCTTATTGTTCCTGCTTATTTTTATATTTTATATGAGACTTATGGACTGTTAATTAGGTTCTCCTATTGTACAAAATTGCTTCCTGATATCCCTGAGATTAAATCATAGGGACACATCCACCAAGTGCCGACACTATATATATTGCATGTATATGTATATGTTAAGACAAAAAGGAATTGTTGGCACACCAGGAGCACACATTTTGCAGGAATGGTGCTTCCGTAGTGACCAAAATGCAGTCATAATACAGATTAAGTTAAAGCGCACACATAAAAATACAATTTTAAATCTGAGAAGGCTACCTTAAATCGCCTATCTCAGCAAACAAATATGGACATTCAGTTCCACCACATGGCCATATTGTGTTAAGCCCAACACTATTTCACACTACTTTCACAGTGTAGGACCAAGTGGGTCCTACACTAATTCCCATACCCACATCCATATATATATATATATATATATATATATATTTATTTTATTTTTCATAATTTCATATATGATTTATTTATTTTTTACCTTTTTTTTAGGCATGCGGAATCCCATTTTTTATGTGTGTGTATATATTTTTTTATTTTCTATGTTTTGAGTTCTTTGAGAAGGATCTTGGGAAAGCATAAACAACAGTTATATAGAAATCAAATACAATGAATTTTATTAATTGACTAACACAATGGGTGCCACATTTTAACACTGTATTACACTTCACATTATATCTGTTTCTTTAGTAGGTTATGCAAACACTGACTGTATAGTTTGTATTGCATGTATTCTTCACATATAATTATTCCACATCTTTTTTCTAAAGCTATTTGTGGATACATTTTGGCAGTGTAGTTCAGTTTTACCAAATCAAAATTAGACTTTGCATGTTTTTTTGTTTTTAACTGGATTGAAATACAGCTCTTGAAACACAGTTCTCTGTTCAGTTTAACCTGTTTTTGAGATTACTCAAGATAAGTGAAGTAAGCCCCTCCTACTTCCTGATTACTTGTCTTCAAATAGTTTGTGAACAAGCCATATCCTACTGAAATATCTTTTTCACAAGATAAAAACGTGGATGTATACCACACTTTCAATACTTTTATATGGTAAGAGGAAAACTACAGAGCACATTTTAGAATGAATTAACTATTTTATTACTGTTGTACTGAAAGCCTACTTCTTATTAATGTCATAAGCAAAGTTTTGTCTTTAAATGGTTTTGTAAACAATGGGGGGAAAATGGCATGCTTCCGTCCTTTACATTATTTAAAAATAACTATCTTTTGTTTAATCCAGGATTTTCAGAAGCTGAGAATGTTACACAAACACCAGTTCATCTTGAAATACTAGAAGGAGAACAGGCTAAATTTGATTGTAAATATAAAACAGTATCTGAGAGCCCTGACCTCTTCTGGTATGTTCAAAAACCAGGAAAACCTCCTCACTTCATTTTAAGGAGAGCTGCATATATCAATAACGAGCATAAACCTGGTACCCGGTATACATCCATTCTGAATAAAGAAACCACCTCTATCTACCTGAAGATTTCTGATGTCACAGTGTCTGACTTTGGGCTGTATTATTGTGCTCTGAGGCCCACAGTGTCTGTGTCTGCAGACTGCACTGTACAAGAAGCTCTGACTCTGTCCAAGGTGCTGACACATAGCTATGTAAATAGTGACTCAAAACAAGATTAGAAAAGGCATTTTGTTCAGATGCCTCCAATGCTATTAGCTAATTATTAGCTAACTAGATTGATGGGAATTCAAAGTGAATTTCAAATTTTAAGCCAAAATAGCTGAACTGTAAATAGTCTCTAAAGCCAGATATATATGCTCAGTATGGCTGTCTTGTACTAAAATTTGAAAGGTTAGTAAATATCACTAACACTGTATGAATCATCACATTCAAACATCCAAATTATTACATCCAGCGACAGAGTAACCCTTACTTAACAATGGTTGTGTCAATTTGCACACAATACACATATTTTACAAAACAAACAAAAAAAGGTAAAAAAAAGAAAAAAAAAAAAAAGAAGAGGGAACCATTAAAATGTGTAATATAACTGAACCATATGCTTGTAACTATTATATAACTGTTGTTCTAATAACAACATTACCACTTTTACGTTTGAGTAAACAAGACAAGTTTTGGGTACAGTATACACTATGACATATTTTCATTTTCTCTAAAACCTTATATAATATATTAAGAAGTGATCGAATAGAGCTCATTTTGTTATATTACTTCCAAGCGACATTTACATGGAGTTACCTCACCTTTCTTTTTTTTATTTGTACTTATGATTGAACATCTGTCTGTGTGCTAATATACTGTTTAATTTAAAATGAAAATGTGCAGAATGCCAGTGCAAGCCCCTCATCCATGTTATTTATCTTTTTACTCTTGCATGTATGAACGATATTGCAAATCATTTTGTGAACATTTGTCTCACAATTATACATAAGAAAAACGTTTTAATAATGCTATTTCATGTTACTATAATGTATCTACACCACCACTTAAAACCAACTACTAGGTTCTATCATCATGTTTTTAAAAAAGCTCCAGGACCTTTTTTCTTACTGTAATTAGTCATCTGTGAATTCTGTAAATATATGTTTTTGTAAATACATATATATCAAGTATATTGTTTTTAAATAAAGGTATTTCATCAAAGTGAAATAAAATAAAAAATTGAGTTTTAAAAAGCAGAAATCGACAAACAACCTCAATTTAGCTGAAATTAGTTATTTGTGCTGCACTGTACTCACTTTGAACAGCTAATAATAGCTGTAGCTTTGAACAACAAATAACACTCAATAGAGAAGAATTCCCAAGCATTATTTTTCAATTGTATGATTTAAGTAAGGAGCCAAGGACAACTCACCATCATTCATTATTATTACCATCATCATCACTTAAACTCCCAAGCAATAAACATAGTTTGTTGCAGACAAGGAATGCTGAGGTTGGTTAACCAGAAGTCCTATATAAAGTGCATGAAGGAGCCAGTGCATCACAGTGCACAGCTCTCCTGCTTCTCCTAGACATTGGGGATATGTAGCACACCGGATCATAGTTTATGCAGGTTTAGTTATTGTGTGAATATGTACTTTTTTGTGTGTTTACATAATAAATATTGGACAACATGTAAGCTGGAAGTGTGACAGTGTGTGCAAGTGACAGTGTGTATAAGTGACAGTGTGTGTATATGCAGTGCAAGTCATGAGAATAAGGTAAAGACCCTGGATAATGAAATCTATTGTGCTGTGGGTGTTTGAGTTTATTACTGAAATTGAACACCTGTATTTAAATTATTAGATTCATTCAATATGATACATGCAGTAGTCACAATAAGGATTTTAGATCTCATTGAGCTGGTCCTTTGAAAAGTAGATAATGAAACAAAAAAGCATTGACACTCCTGCTCTGTGTGATAGCCCGGTGTGAGCTGGATCTTCTCCTCTCATTAATTCTATCTGTGTTGCATCAATCACTTGGGTTTCTATAATAAAAAGTACAGATTAAAGAACACGCACACACCAAAATACAGTTTAATACTTTTTCAAAGCTACTTGAAATCACCAATCTTAGCACTGAAATATGGGGTTTCATATAGCCATATCATGTTAAGGCCACCACTACTTCACAGTACCCCAATATCCGTGGGTCATACACTAATTTTAACATTGGAGAAAAACTACTATTTAATAGTGCTAGTGCTAAAAGAATATAACTAAAAGTAAAGTGCATTTAATTAATCTATGCTAGGGGAATTTTTAATATATATCAAAATTAAGTGCCCTAACTAAATAATTAATGTGAAAGTTTATTCATATATACATTAACAATACGTAAAATAAATCTGCTCTGTATCAAATAAATAATGTTAAAATGTATCCTTTAATATGAACACCTCTGAAGGAGCATCTAAAGTCGAATGGCAGGTTGTGATACTCAACCCAAAATGAATCTGGTCTGGACCCAAACATACATAGGATGTAGAGGAATTCATCTGTATTTTGTATAAGTTTTGTCTTTATCGAAACACCATTGCTGAGAAATTCATATTCCAAGCATGCACCCAATTCCTCTTTTCTCTGCGTTGGATTTCAATGGTGACCATTACTCATGTTGATTTTTCCTACACGTATGACATCATGGGTTAGCCTTCCAAGACTCCCTTTTATCAATACACCCATCTCTTTCATTTTTCCTGGTTTATTTAAACAGTGTTTGATCATTTCACATATATCTTGATAAAAGTCTGTGGATAGGACTGAAAGTCAATTTAATTGTGTATATTATTATTATTATGTTATTATTTATATAGCGTCAACAAATTCCGCAGCGCTTTACAGTGGGTGGACGAACAGACATGTAGTTGTAACCAGACAAGTTGGACACACAGGAACAGAGGGGTTGAGGGCCCTGCTCAATGAGCTTACATGCTAGAGGGAGTGGGGTAAAGTGACACAAAGGTAAGGGTAGTATTAGACTAATGACAGTTGCAAGAGAGGAATCAGTCGGGAGCTATTAACAGTTTAATTGATACGCAGCAGAGCGTAAGGGCATGACGGGACATACTTGTGTATTAGTGAGGATAGATAGGTGGGAGCAGCATTATGTAGAGATTTGAAAGCCAGAACCAGAATTTTAAATTGAGCCCTATATCTTACAGGAAGCCAATGTATGGACTGACAGAAGAGTGAGGCGTGGGAGGTGCGGGCTGAGATGAAAATGAACCTTGCGGCCGCATTCATTATGGACTGTAACGGTGCACGTTGGGAGCATGTAAGACCACTGAGAAGCAGATTAAAGTAGTCAAGGCGAGAAAGGACAGTGGAATGGACCAGCACTTAGTTGCATCTGGCGTTACATAGGTTCGGATGCGCGCAATGTTTTTGAGATGGACAGGATTTGGCGATAGACTGAATATAAGGTGTGAAACAGAGGTCGGAGTCAAAAAGAACACCTAGGCAGCGAGCCTGTATGGTGGAGCAGATGGGAGCACTGTTGACTTGGAGACAGACAGACACATGAGTAGCAACACTTGAGGGAGGAAAGACTAGAATTTCAGTTTTGGTCAAGTTAAGTTTAAGGAAGTGGGCAGTCATCCAGTTAGAAATAACAGAGAGGCAGTCAGAGACACTAGTCAAGAGGGATGGGGAGAGATCAGGAGAGGACAGGTAGATTTGCGTGTCATCCACATAGAAATGATATTGGAAGCCAAAGGAGCTAATTAGTTTAGTATAGATAGAGAACAGTAGGGGACCAAGGACTCAACCTTGGGGGATACCAACAGAGAGGAGTTGGGGAGAAGAAGCAGAGCCAGAAAAATAAACACTGAAAGAGCGCTGGGAGATGTAGGAGGAGCACCAGGAGAGAGCAATATCTTGAAGACTGATATTGCGGAGGATGAGAAGAAGCTGTTGATGATCAACAATGTCAAAAGCTGCAGACAGGCCAATGAGAATTAGGATAGAATAGTGACCATGAGATTTTGCAGTGAGTAGATCATTGGATACTTTGGTCAGTGCCATTTCTACAGAGTGCTTAGCGCGGAAACCAGACTGAAGCGAGTCTAGCAAAGAGTTAGACTCAAGGAAATCTGTCAGTCTTGCATACACAACTCTTTCAAGGATCTTGGATGCAAAAGGCAGTAGCGAGATAGGACGGTAGTTGGATGGGGAGTTAGGGTCAAGGCTGGGCTTCTTTAGAATTGGGGTTACAGTCTCATGTTTGAAGGGCGATGGAAATATGCCAGAGGAGAGAGAGAGATTGAGAATTTTAGTGAGAGGTGGAGAAAGAGAATACAGAGTACGGATGAGATGCGAGGGAATTGGATCTAGGGAGCAGGTGGTGGGGCAGGAGGACTGGAGCAGAGCGGAAACCTTTTCCACTGTAGCGGGTGCGAATGAACATAGAACAGCAGAGGGAGTGAGGTTAGGGGATGTATTGTAAGGGGAAGAAGAAAGATGTGAGATGAGAGATGAGAGATCTGATTGTAGAGATCTTGTCAGTGAAGTGAGTTGCAAAGTCTGAGGCTGTCAAGTTAGTAGGTGGAGGAGGAACAATAGGGCGAAGAAGAGAGTTAAATGTATGAAATAGTCGTTTGGGTTCATGGTAGAGTGTGGTTATGAGAGTATTGAAGTAATTTACTTTTGCAGAGAAAAGAGCCAAGCTGTATGAGTGCTGCATAAATTTATAGTGGAGAAAGTCAGACGCACAGTGAGACTTGAAAAGCTTGAAAAGCTTGAAAAATGTCCTAAAACATGCTATTTGATGGACGTCATTATCACAAGTTAAATATAGATTTTGAGACTAGGGAGGTGTTCCCATTCCCCTATACCTGCAAAAGATACTAACTTAAGTACAACAGACAGTTGGACACTATACTAAAATGGAGGCATAAGTGATTTGGTTGCCAAGTAACCAACAAGCATGCAAAGAATGAGCAATATAGGAAATCGGTTAAGAAATTAAAATGTAGCAACTTAAAAAAAAAAGTGAGGGTAACTACACACATGAGTGACATGTGACATGCAAATAATTAGGAACACAAAATGGGGTGGATCACCAAAACAGTGACTTGCAACAAAGTTTTAATGTTGGTTTAATACTGTGTAAGGTAAGGGAAAAATAAGATCCCAGGTACACAAAATGAAGAGGAAGAGGAAGTTGGAGGGGG